TAAAATAAGTATATACAGAGTCACTATTCTCACCGAAACTGTATTTTTGGAGGTAGCACGCGATTCCTTCCCAGTTTGCCGATCCTGACCCTTCCGTCACCGTACCACTATAGAGATTGGTAGCGCTCATGTAGGAACTCTCTTTAATGTTGTTCCAAATGCAACGGGGGAATGGCGTGAATTCATTCTCTCCTCCTGAAAAACGTAGTGGTCATCAACAGTTGCGATTGATCATGGTTCAAGCACCTGTTGTCCTTCATGCAAGAGCTGCTGCGGTTTAGGACGTCCTCCTATACCGCGCAAGAAGCAGCGCAGTGAGAAATGTAATTCTTAGGCCGCGTTCTCAATTCGACGTACTTCCAGAACACAAATTGATAACTTCATCGTATGAAATTATCAATTTGTGTTCTGTAGGCTATTTTGTTAAAGGACACCATCATAGTGCACCGTAATCGCTCGCTGATTGAACACAATCCCGAACAGTACATAATTCGAAGCTCTGCTAGTCCGTTTATGATGCTTTTTATTAGAAAGGAGGGAAGATCACCACGTAGAGCCAGCAGAGATAAGAGTACTGCCGATGAACTGAACTCCGTCATTGCTGACTCCATCTCTTTTTCGCATGTTCATGTCCTAGCCATCAGGAATGAAGAGCTCAACACAGGCGGACTTGTGAGCATCAAGAGGTGTTGAAGAGATCTACACAAATTGTCTCTTACGACATAGTTTGAAGTGATCCTTATTGGTTTTTCAAGCCTTTTGCGCTAGACCACTCTTTCAACTTATTGCGAATGCATCCCAAATGCATCCCGTGCCGAAAGATTCATCACTTATTACTTATGAGATTTGCCACGTAGCCGCCTGGTTTAGTCGTACATGCAAATACCCTTGTTAGTCTCTCAGTACAGAAATAGAATCACACGTAGGGGTTTCGCAGTTGTCGAGTGGCTCGAATATTTACGGATCAGAGTTCGATGGGAAATCCTCGGAGTACTCGGAGTGGGGAGGAGTAACGGTGAAGCACACCAAAGTAGAACGAGCGAAAACTGAACAGTCCGTCATCGATGTTTCGAACTTATTCAGCTCCATTGTAAACTGATTGCAAGCAACATTTATGCGCACAACAGAAGTACTGATGAATAAAGAAGAACCGACATTTATTGAAACGTTCAATTGCCATTTCTATATGAATAGTTTTTCCAAGATGTAGGGGTACCCATAGTTGTGGAACGCTGGGATCTGATTCAAGGAAGAGAACTAACCAAGGATAAAGCGATTGTTGCAGACTAGCATGGTCAGGATTTTTCCATGCGATCTTTACCGTTGATGATCGTTTTTCACCGCGGATCCACAAGCGGTACAACAAAAATTCTGGGTGCCCCAATATTTATGAAATGCAATGTATATGCACTATATGTATAAATAACATCACTTCA